GCTGAACCCCCCCAGCTCCCCCAGCCGCTCCCCAGCAGCCTGGGGCTCCAGACCCCTCCCCAGCTCCGCTGCCCTTCTCTGGACACGCTCCAGCCCCCCCAGGGCCTTCGGGGAGGGAGGGGCCCAACCCTGACCCCAGCAGTCGAGGGGCGGCCCCCCCAGTGCCCAGCACAGGGGCACCATCACTTCACCTGTAACCCGTGGGTGATGAACTGATGGTATGGATTTGTTAACTGTGTTCTCTTCGGATCACTGCCTATTTGTGACTTTATTAACAGATAATACAGTCACATTTCAATAAATTTGGTAGGAATTGTATTGGTAAACTCTGCGTTCTTCAAATAATAAAAAGCTTATAGTTAGAGTATAATAAAGCCAGTAAGAGCTCAGGTAACTTTCTTCACAGTTAAAATTTCACTTCAGGGAAACGGGAGAGTGTGGCAGTGATTAACGTGTGTCATGGAAGCCCTTCAGAACAGCTGAAATGAACGGAAGGGAGGAACCTACCGATAACAAGAGAAAGGATGCTGTCATTTTTTTCATGATCAATAATAATGTTAAAACCCCGTAAGAAGCTTTATTCTACCGATGGTAGGGAAATGCAAGTAAATTAAAACATCCAAACTGGAACAAGTCAAACACCCAGCATATCGGGCCCGGCCAGTTTTTCATTGTTGTGGGTAGTCCTGTCGGGATTGTATTTTGCATCAAGAAATCCTAATATCTGTGGGGCTAATGAGCCATGTGAAGTGCTGCGCTGACATCAGCTTTCCTGAAAACATTTCTTCCTGTGTCGTTACCGTAAGTGCTAGGGACTTCAGCACCTATTCCAAGCCCTTATCACCGCTGGGTTTGCTCTCTTAACTTCTAGACCTCTTTTTCTGCACTTAATGACTACCATGTGTTTCAGAAGCAATAAGAAGTCACAGAATCACAGAATCGCAAGGGTTGGAAGGGACCTCAGGAGATCATCTAGTCCAACCCCCCTGCTAAAGCAGGTTCTCCTAGAGCATACTACACAGGACTTCATCCAGGCGGGCTTTGAATATCTCCAGAGAAGGAGACTCCACAGCCCCCCTGAGCAGCCTGGGCCAGGGCTCGGGCACCCTCACAGTCAACAAGTTCTTCCTCACGTTCAACTGGAACCTCTTATGTTTCAGTTTGTACCCATGGCCCCTTGTCCTGCTGCCGGACACCACTGTAAAGAGACTGGTTCCGTCCTCGTGACTTCCGCCCTTAAGATACTTGTATGTATTGATGAGGTCCCCTCTCAGTCTTCTCTTCTTCAGGCTGAACAAGCCCAACTCTCAGCCTTTCCTCGTAGGGGAGATGCTCCAGTCATTGCTGAGCATGATGCTATATAGTACGGAATAGCCCTTTGGCCGGCGCGGGTCAGCTGTCCTGGCACCCCAGTCTGTTAAACCACAATTTGAGACAAGTCTACTGCTTCAGTTGCATTTTTTGTAAGCTTTCTTTGGACTTATGCGTTACTGACTATGTAAGCAAGGCCTTCGAAGAAGAGGAAGAAGTGGTGTTAACCAGGAGGAGGCTAGGCAGGATTTCGGGGCAGGGAGAACGCCACCCTTCTGCTGAGGTTTCTCTGCGTTACGTGATAACTAGGGAGAATGCTTTTTTGCTCTAAAAGTATTCCTGTGACTACGTTCTTTGAACAAATACAATGTGATCTAGACAAATGCAGACCTGAGTTTAAAAGAAAAGTTGCCAACCAGAAAGTAGATTTCTGTTCTCTCCTCAAAACCTTTAAACGTTTAGTGATTACGTAGGATGAGGTAGCTGGTGTTACAGGTACAAGCGTGGTGCTGAAACCGTCTGTATCCTGCATGGGTGTATTTTAACTTCATGTGCAATGTATCGTGGCTCGGTCACGCTGCTTATACAGATTACACTGAACATTCCCTTTGCTGTCCAGACTCTTTAGTTGTCCCCTAGCCCTTCAGGAAAAACAGGGACCGTTCACGATGCAGTTAATGGAGCTGTCTGTTTCTTTTAAAATAAAGTTTGAAAATGTGTACTGAGAAAAAGATTTCCAGTTTTGATGAGATCATTTTTAACGACGTGAAATTTTGTCGTTTCAGGGACACTTCAATCATATCCCGGGCTTCTAGAAATTGAGAGGCGGCAGATCAGCCACGCTGCTTTTCTTCCTAAATTCTAAAGATGCACCTGCGAACCCCGTACAGCTGGGCATCCGTACCTTCACGCGCGGCGCGGATTTGTCTGTGGTGGTCAGCAAACAGCAGCTTGCTGTAGGCGATGACGGGTAGCTTTGGTTTCACACTTGAAAAAATGCTTCTGCTTTTAAGGTAGCTCAGTATATGTTTAAAAAGGAAAAAAGCTGATTTAGCGTTTTCGAGTAGTCAGGTTGGTCTGGGCTTTGGCCCAGTCTCCACCTGGGCCTGGGCCAGCGGTCCTGCTGATAAAAGAGATTTCCCTGTCTCTCCCAGGCACTTTTGCTGCTATGTTGGGAAGGTGTCCTTGTTTGCGCACGGGTCCAGGGCCTGCCGGTTTAGCTCAGCCCTATACATGCAGGCAGAAATGGGAGGGCAGAAACGTCATTTTTAGATGGCTATTCGGCTGTGAAGGCCAGTAAAAATCCTGCTGAGATTCAGATTTAAATCCAAAATAGGCATCCAGTTCGGGTATCTTGCACGCTAAACTTCTAGTTTGTTTATAACACGCGGAGTTTGTGAATGTGGCAGGTAAACATCTACCAGAAAAAGCAGTGTGATGTGAACAACGCCCCGTGAAGCGAAGGTGAATGGTAACTCAGCTTTGTGGAGTTCTCACAAAGTTGTTAAGATACCGCCTCACCCTCCCTGAGTCTGTCTTCCCAGTTTTTGTGATATTAGAACAAATCTGTTTAAAAAGTCTTAAGCTTGTTGTCCAACATGATTGTACTGGCTTGTCCCAAATAATTTCATTTTGCCACTGTATAGGACTATATAATATTTTAAACACGTTCAGCTTTTTAGACTCCTGAGTAGCCCCAAGTTGTCCTGTTCGGGTGTGACGCTGCAGCAGCTGCTCTGGTGCAGGCAGAAGGGTCCTGAAAGCTCAGAACCGAATGGCAGTACCGTAACCCTCTACATGGGAGGGAAACTGCTGGGACCTGCCAGAGTTCGTGAAGAAAGCAATCGTCTCCACCGCCAGAGAGCTGCTGAGCTATCGCTGTGCCCTGCTGCTGCTCGGCTTTCGGGCAGACTTCAAGCCAAAGCAGATGGGGCAGGCAGGGCAGCATTTGGGCTCTGCTCTTCTGAGAGCAGCCAGTAGCCC